GGTCTTCTGCTCCATAAGTTTTTCTTCATTCATCTTCATCATCTTCATCTTCCTCTCCATCAGATAGGGATGTACAAGGCCGGATCTGCCGGTAGCGGTCAAGCCATTTTTCTACCATCTGTGTGACCAGGGGGTGATTCCGCCGGCGAGAGCTTTTCTGCATAGCTACCAGAACTCCCCCTTCAGTCACACAGCAGTCCAGCCACTCCCTGAGCAGTTTTTCTTGCTGTTCCTCATTACCTAGCTTTTAGAGGAATGTGAAGAAAAGGGGAAAATACAACATCAGAGATYTGACAGCAACCTACAGCTGGTAAGACAATTAGGCCAAAGCAACAAACTTTTAACATGTTTTCAACCTCATAAAACTAAGTCTTAATTAAATTTAACATATGTCAGTGGGGAAATAATCAGAAAAGGCCAGAGGGAAAAACATCCCAAAAGATCATTTGTTTCACAGGATAGAAAAAGGCAAACAAATCACCAAAAAAGTCACAGCTTCAAACACCTAACAAGGTAAGTTTACTTAGTAAATTATGAACAGGCTTAAATTACACGCTGTGGTCTTTCTTGTATTTAATTTTTTCCCTTCAATGTTGTGACTATGAACATTCTATGATCATTACTATTTCACTGAATAAAAGACCAATAATTTTACAAGAATATGAGTTTYCTGAGAGAGTGTTCTTTTGTACTTTCTCACCCACCTCCCCTRCTCAATCTACATGTGCTTGTTTGTGCCTGTATCCATTAAGGCACACTGGCTGCTGGCTTCCCTTCTCACCCTTATCACCTCACCTTGTCGCCTATCCTCTCTTTCCTCCTTACCTTCTTCCCCTTAATGTAACTGGCCCTGCAATTCTTAGAATTCTATTCCTCCAAACTGGAAGATTCACTTCACCCATGACCCTATTAACTCACAAATCCCTCAGTCTTGCTTTTTCAAATTCCTTGCTATGCTCCCACAAAGGAGTTTTGAAATGATAATTTCAATGTCTGACCAACTAGTATTTACAGAAAGCTGCAATCATTACAACCACATTCAGAAATGTATCTGGCARTACAGATAAAACCACACCTGAAAGGCACCAGAGATTGGATTCTGCTACAAAGCTTACTACTTGTGTTAACAGAAGAAATATGCTGCTTACCTCCTGTGCAGAAAGAAAATGCACATGGAGTAGCTTTCTTTCACTGTCAACCAGAGGCAAAAACGTGATGGTGACATCATCATCGGTGTTCAAGTTAGCACCAGCACCTCGGTTGCCATAGCCATCGTTTTCCATGGCAACCAAAGCAGAGAAGTGGCCCCTTGTGTACCCCAGAGCAATAGGACTTTTCCAACAAAAACTCTGTTCCCACAACAAAGGCAGATAGACTCCTGGGAAAAGGCAAAAGAAAATCACAAGGGTGAATACCTCTCATTTCCCATGGCCACTGTTATTGCTGGTAGCCAAGAGTCACTCTGACCACCTCCCCCATAAATGACTGCTTAAGGATATGGTGCAAATTACATCATCATAGTTAAAAAAAAAAAATTCTGAAATGCTCTAGAATAATGGCTTACCTTGAAACCGAGTATATCCTAAAGTTTCTCCCCGGAAACTCTTATAATATTTTACTCCATAAACTATAATTGGTCGTCTAAGAATATGGGCAAGGACAAAAATGTGTGTCTGTTCCAAACTTGCTCCAGGCTGTACAGAAMAACAAAAAAAGGCATTTTTTCTTTAAAACATAACCAATCCTGGAAAAGTGATATATAAAAAGCAACACTATCTCCACAGTATGACTTTCAGTCCATTTTTAAGAAAAACAATATTGGCAAGTCAAAGGTATTAATAATATAGGTATTATTCACTACCCACTCACAAACCTAATAAATGAGGATACACCATTTTAAGAAGTCCCTTTACTATGCAGGCTCACAATTCCTTCAATCTTGGGAAACAGACTCAAACAGCAAGGGAGCTTCCTGTGATCACATCCTGATTAACTGTGAAAGTACTAACTTACAACAAGAAAACAGTGAGCTTTATGTCATAAATCATTAAATGGAAGTAACACCTAACTCAAATTGTCATATCCAATAGGTTTATCTTCCAGAGTTAGTGATGCTGACAACACATGGCCAATCTACATGTTAGATGTTAATTGGTCACTGTGAGCCCTCAAATGGCCCAAAGAGAAGGTACTAGTCTCTCAATGTTCGAATGAACTATTATGCATGTATCTTGACTTTGTGGTTTATTATGCTCAATATACCTCACAAAATAAAAATAAAATTAACATGAAACCAAGAGTTTAATAAGTGTGTCAGGCTATGGACACACCGCACTGAACCAACCAATCTCATCTATTAAAGAATGTGCAATCAAAATTTTCAGGAAAAGTTCACTCCTGCATCAATTAGAAGTCAGTCCTGCCAGTGGCGATTAATTCAGAATAAGCCAGACTGCACCTTTTCCTTTGCCTATATCTATCTCCTGGGTACAGCCTCACCACTGGGGAGCATTCTGAAGAATGTACACTTCTTCCTCAGGGCCTGACAGCTCAGCTCCACCTGTCATTGATTAAGGGATCCTGGTAAGGTCTCACCTAACCTATAGGTAAGTAAAATAGGCATATGGAAAGCAACCTCAAGACCAGGGTGCTCGAGATCACTGCACAACTTTTCGTTTTGACTTGATATAACATCTGTTACTCAAAATTCTGCAGTGGGGACTTCCTATGCTCATGTATTTAATAGCAGTCACGCCTAAAACCCAAGTTGACTGGTGCCAAGTCAAGCACCTTTCCTTGTACCACATTATCCCAATATGGTTTGCCCAAGCAAATCAGGAACTTTGACTACATGGCTTACCTTTCTCATAGACAAGCCTTGCTTACCTGACTAGCAAGAGAGAGGATAAATGCCCAGTCTTCTTGCCACTGTTCTTCTCTTAAGGAAAAATGTAAACCAAAGCTCTGAGAATACCAGGATTCCCAATCTTTCCAGCGTGTGTAAAACCTACACAGTTAAAACAAGAAACCTTCTATAAACTCTACCTTTAAATATTTCTTTAATGTAATCTTAAGGCAATTCATAGACCAATTTTACATTATTTGCAATATCTTTTTCAAATTAAAAATGCTCCCATTCTGTTAGCAGACATCTTTTAAAATATCTTCAGCCAAAATTTGGTGAAAATTTGGTGGGTGGCAGATCAAACACTAGTGAAGAGAACAATTACTTTCAATTTTCTATTACCAGTTTACAAGTTTAAAAAAAAAGACAATCAACATCATCTGAGTCTATACACAAAGAAGTCACACATTTGTCCATTGTTATATCACTACTTTTGTAAACAGGAAATATCCCATATTTATAAAAATATCAAGATCAGTGCCGTGAGATTTCTTTCTATAAAATCAAATCTGATGATCACCTAATTAAAAAAAAAAAATTAAAACTAAAAAACAATTCCTTCTTTATACTATCTAGCCTTTTAAATACCTCAACCTAGTCAATTAGTGGGTCACTGGCAGACTATATTACTACTAATAAAAAAAAGTAYGCTTTTTCTTTATATCAAGTATAAAATTAACAAAAACCAGAAACAATTATGCTCAAAATGTTGGTTTAGTCTTACAAAATAAGTTGGTCAAAACCTCTAAAGTGAAATAGACATTTAAGTATGTTCAGGGCTGGGGTTGTGGCTCAGTGGTAGTGCTTACTAGCATGTGTGAGGCACTGGGTTCAATTCTCAGCACCACATTTWAAAAAATGAATAAAATAAAGATACATAGCAAAAAATGTGTTTAAAACATGTTCATCTTTAATGCACTGTTTGAATTCTAAACCGATTTTCAATCTTAGGTCATTGTTTTTTGGAGTGGTAGAAATTAAACCCAGAAACTTGCACACTTTAAGCACTCTACTAGTGAGCCCCATCCCCAGCTCCTTAAAATTTTTTTAAAGACATTTTAGTCTTTCTTTTAATATTTTCATGCAACTGTATCTATCCACATGATAGCACAGGTACTAACTACAAGTATTTGGAAAGAGCACAGTTACATGCATTATTTATTTGTCTACTTCCAACCAGCATTTCTGGCAGTTTACCCTGAAAAATGTCACAACTCCAAGCTGAAGATAATTCTACCAAATAACAAAATAGTAATCATTCTAAAAGACTGTACTAAACTTTTATTTATATCAATTACCCCCAAACATTCCTCTGAGAAACTATACTGACATATCAATGAAAGGCAAGTACAATGTTGTACATTCAGTCTTGAGAACTCAAAGTCAGCTCAAATCATGGATATCCAACAGAACTTCACAGATAAAAAGGGCACCTAGGCAAACAGCGGCTTAAGAAGCGCCCATATACAATGGGTTGCCTCCTCCAAGACCCTAGACTTCTCACCCTGTCTCATTCTACCTCCCCCTGAAGTGCTGAGCTCAGTAAACAGAATTGTCAATGAACCCCTTTTCTCTGTTAGATAATCTTCACCCAACTCTACCCTTCAAATAACATAAGCATGATCCTGTGATTACTGCACTCTATGCAACATTCTATTCCTGAACTCTGAAACACTAGGCAAAGACATCTCAAGGCAGGCACCCGAGAATGTGGTCCCAAGGCACACTTGGTTTTGGGAATCCTGTCCATATGACAGTTCTGGATCTCAACTCCTGAAGCATCCTTTCAGAGTGAGGACAACTTAGTGAAAGTTCTGCTCCAACACTTCCTGGTGGCTGTAAGCAAACAGCCTTGTTTCTCATTCAGATTACAGTACTCTATTTCTGCCTATCTCCGTGCTACACTGACAACTTCAAATGACTCAGAAATACCTAAGAATTCCAGTCCTAATACAAATACTGACAGCAACTCCAATCCAGAAATCACTGACTGCCAGCTCTGAGTTGGCCCAAAGTTATTATTACTAACCTCAAAACAGCAACAAAAAAAAACCAATTAGGGGCCAGATGTGGTGGCACAAACCTCCAATCCCAGCAGCTTGGGAGGCTGAGRCAGGAGGATCAAGAGTTTAAAGCCAGCCTCAGCAAAAGCGAGGCACTAAGTAACTCAGTGAGACCCTGTCTCTAAATAAAATACAAAATAGGGTTAGGGATGTGGCTCAGCAGTTGAGTGCACCTGAGTTCAATCCCTGGAACCCCAAAGAAAAGAAAGAAAAAAACAATTAGGAAAAAAACATCATCTGCTGAAATTTACAAGGTACTTTCAACATTACAACAAGATCATGGTGTTACCATCAGAGAAAAAAAATTACAAGGCTTTTTWAAAAGGGCATTTGCAAAGTTGTAGACTGATCACAGTCCAGATCTGCTGTTCCAGCTAGGAAACTAGACTTCATCAATACCAAGGAATAACACAAATCAACCTTATAGGGCAGTCGCATTAACCAAACCCATAAGGCAGATCTGTAAAACCACAGAGCCAATAACTGCCATCATGGGAATTAGACCATTCTCATCCTCTCAAAKGCAGGCCAAATAATCACCACACTACTGCTTGATAAAGATGCAATCTGACAAAGACAGGCTAGGAAAACTGAACATTTAATGGCATCAGGCTTACCTAACCTGATGAATCCCCCTCATATCAATCCATATAGCACCCACCTCTCCTGAAAGGCACAAAGCCCTCTTTCCTGGACAAAGACTAAAGGACTAAACCATCTGCCTGGGTGACRAATTCTTTTTTAGCATATTATATATCCAGTCAAGGTTTACATATAGGCTTGTCAGTCAGGGAGCTATTTTGTTTTTTTTTTCAGGCAATCACAAACTTTTACTCTATTGCATTAAGCTTTGATCTTCAAATTTAGTTCTCAAATACAAGAACATATAACTACTTTTTTTTTTAACAAGCACCAAGTGTCAAGCTATTCCAGGTACTAGATCTTCTACAATGGCGGGGGGGGGGGGGGCGGTCCCTGTTCTCTTTATATTCTAGACTTCATGTAAACCCTAAAATATAACAAAATGCACAACTAGTAAATGCTGAAAAAAACGCCAAAAAAATGCAAGGATAGTAACACTGCCTGAAGTAGGACCATTAGCATTACTCCTAAGCATTCAATAAGAAAAAGCAATTTTCATACCAATGTTAAGAAAAATAAGAGTTTTTAAATGGTTTCTATGCTTACCAATRAGTAGTTAAATTTAGGTTCTTTGAATCTCAATTTTATTACCTATGAAATGATAGCTAAGTGAGATAAATATATTCATAGAACCAAGAAAATACTTAGGGTAGGAAAATCACAAAATTATCTCTTGTGCTTGATAACACGAGTGAATTTATACTTCAAGAATAACAAGACTTGACTGACTAGATCCTAGGTTAAAATATAAAGGACATTTTGAGACAACTATAGAGAAATTTGACAGTGGACTATATGCTAGAAAACTAAATCAATGTTGATTTTCTTAGGTTTCATAAGGTTGCAGGAGAATATTCTTGTTCTGAAAAGGTGCATGTTGAAATAATGAAGGGTAAAATTTTGATGTCAAAAAAAATCAGTACAGGGTAGCACTTAAACAGATGAAGCACGTGTGCCAAAATATTAATAATTGGTCAATCAAATAAAAGAGACATTAGGTATATCACATGGATTTTTATCTTTTAAACTTTTCTGTGGATTTGAAAATTTGCAAAATGGGATTTTACAAGTCTCTTCCTCAGGAAGAAAAATAGCTTATAATATATAGTTATATATAACATAATTCTCTTAAAGTTGAAGATAATATGATACCAGTAAGTACTCAAAATTATGAGCAAAGGTGGTATCTTTTTATTGGAGGGGGGGTATTGAAGACTRAACCCCAGGGGCACTCTATCACTGAGCTACATCCTCAGTCCTTTTTTGAGATATTGTCTTACTAAGTTACTAAACTGCTCAGGCTGGTTTCAGTCTTGCAATTTCTTCTGCCTCAGCCTCCTGAGTCACTGGAATTATAGGTGAGCGAAACTATGCCCAACCCTATCAGTATTTAAGTCTATAAAACTAACAATGTTATATTAGAAATGTTTAAATACACTGTTTCTATTTTATGGAAATGAATATTGTTTCCAGTTTAAAGCTTCATCTGTTTCTATTTTAAACCTCTGATAAAAGGCATAAAACTACTGGGGTACTGGGGTATTCAACCAGTCTTCATTTCCAAAACCCAATAGTTTTGTTCTTTAGTTTCTCAGAAAATAAAACTGAGCAGAAAAATACCCCACTACTACAAGGAAATGATCCAGCAAATCCAGTCCAGGTGGAACAGGGAAGGATGCCAGCTCACCAATGTGAACAGTCATGCAGGCTGTCATGCAGGGCTTTCCGAAGCACCGAGTCCTTGTCATAAATACCCCAGGTAGCTTGTAGTACTGAGTCAAGTAAGCAGTCCCCTGCAGTTCGATTCCAAAGGGCATACAGTCGACTATCCAAACGTGTAGCCAACTCCAAGGACCAGTTTATAATTGGGGATTCTTCTTCTAACTCTGAGGAATTTAAATAACATATTCATTTTCGTGCCTATGTGGTTACAAAATATTCAGTAGGGTGAAGAATCCATCTTTTACATGTAAACAGGTAATTTATTAATAAATACCTAAATAAATTTGATCAACTGAAATAGATTTTTAGTAGTTAAAACATGGCTCTGGAATAGTTTATTCAACTTCAAAATTCCTTATAATTTTATTTTCTAAAAAATGTTGAATACAGAAATACATTTATACTGTAAAGTAGAAATTTTAAAGATCTTACATCTTTAATCTAAAACAAAAATACATCAAACTACTCCATACCCTAACAAAGTAAATCAAAATTTAATTTATCAGATAAAAGGTAAATTATATTCATTAATTACATGCTTACCTTTTTGAACATCTCTATCAAGCACCTCATCAAATAATTTTTCTTGAACTGTTGGGGGTAAGTCTTCAATATCTACAAAGGAAAATCAGACTGAAAACATATTCTTGTATTTCATAATTCGATAAACTATGGTAGCCTCTAATAGTCACGTCCTCTAAAATAACTTCCTCTCCACTGAAGGTCAGCAGAATTTTTTTATTAATGAACACATGTAACATGTGAAAGGTAAAATAGGTATATTATTTCCTTTCTGTATTTCATTACCAAAACGTCTTAATATACTTAATAACATTATATGGTGCTGCACACATATAATCCCAGCAAGTAGGGAGGCTAAGGCAGGAGGATCTCAAATTTGAAGCCAGCCTCAGCAACTTAGTGAGGCTGTGAGCAACCTAGTGAGACCCCATCTCAATATAAAAAATAAAAAAGGGCTGGGGATGTGACTCAGCGGTTAAGCACACAACACTGAACAAAACAAATAAATAAACTGCAACAACATTTGCACCAATAATTACAAATCAACTTTTAGTTGTTTTCTTCTCCTCACACTGGAAACTTCTGTTCAAAATATTACTTCCAAATTGAATCTTCTTTAAAAGTAAATGAAGCATGATTGTGGCACATAGCCAGCCTTTTTGTCATCTTCCTCAAATTCTCTATGCTCTATTCAGGTTACTTGTACCCATAAGAAAAATTATCCTTAATATTTTTTAAAGGCATTTTCAAGTCAGCCAAGTGGAGTGGCACATAACTATAATTCCAGAGATTTGGGAAGCAGAGGCAGGGGGGAACACAAGTTTGCGGGCAGACACAACAATTTAGCAAGATCCTGAACAACTTACCAAAATTCTATCTCAAAATAAAAAGAAATTTAAAATCTGAGAATGTAGTTCAGTAACAAAGCACCTTGAGTTCAATCCACAGTACTCCCCCTCCCCCAAAAAAAGCATTTTAAATTCAAAATAAAAATCTAATAATAATTTAGGATTAGCTTAGTGTGTGTGCACTTCAAATGATATTTGTCCAAATTTTAGAAGACTCAGTTTTTATCACCTACCATTTATAAATGCCCCTGTTTATATCTGAGTATGAAAGTTGAAAATACTCAGATCCCATATGAAAGCTTTTATTTTACAAGCCTTTGAGTTTTGGTATATTTATTCAATGCCACTAACAAGACATCCTAGAAGATTTTTCTCAACAGCCAATTATTGAAAAATAAAAATTTGTTTCACAAATATAATAGAAATGAGTGTAATTAGTGAAAAGCAATGCCATCTCAAGAGTGYCAGCATCTTTAAACCAAAAATGACCCCTTTTCCATAAAGTCCTGTGTTCTAATCTTTCTGCTTACACAAGATAACCAATCACTACCAATTTCAAAATAACAGATGAATATGAAAAGGGAAAATTAAAATAGACCAAAAAAAGAGAACTTTGTAAGATAAAACCAAAGAGGGAAATAAATAGGCAACACACACACACACACACACACACACACACACACACAATACTGGGTACAGTGGTGCTTGCCTATAATCCCAGTGACACAGGAGGCTGAGGCAAGAGGATCTTAAGTTCAATGCCAACCTGGGCAATTTATCAAGACCCAAACTAAAAAAGGAGCTGGGGTAGAGTGCCTGCTGCTGGATTAAACCCCCAGTACTTGGGGAAAAAAATAACAACCCAAGACCCACAAAGATCAGTTACTTCTGATCTTTCAAATAATAATGATAATGAAAGCATCTGTTTCTACGCAGCTCTTGTACTGACTACTTTCAGCATAAACAGGACGGTAAAGTCATTTAAGGTGCACATATATTATTTGCTTTCTTTYAAAAAAATACATTTTTTGATCCATCTATAAAAACAGAACTATAATAAAATGAAAATTTCTTTTCACATTAAATTTTGGAATTACCTGCTGGCAACGTAAATGTTACAAGGTCAGTTAGGAAATAGCAAGCGAAATCCCCCTTTCTCTGATGAAGAGAGGCAGCGACTTCCCTCCGGATTTGTTCTGTCAGTTCAGGACACACCATTGCTGGAATACATTTTGCTGCTTGTTGAGACACCTTAAATACAACAAAACAAACTTTCCTCTGTATCTCATTTATCATAAGTGAAAGAACATTACACGGCATTTAAAAGAAATTAGCAAAATGTCCCAATAATTCAAAGCTATGTTTGTTTTTTTAATCTTATATTGTGTTGGTATTATTTTCTTACCAGTGGAAATACATATCAGTACATCTTTCCAGAAAAACAGCAATACAAGTGTGTTACTCTGATTCAGTAATTCTACTCTTCATATTTATCCCAAGACTCAAAGATGCACATTTTTAAATATATACAAAAGACTATTGTTTATAAAGGTGCATCATAGGAGAGGGAGGGAGAACAGAAAACCTAGATGGACTAGCCATCATTAAAAACATTTGTAAAAATAAGGAATTGCAAATGCTCTTCTTGCATGTATTTTAAGAACTCTGACTTGGAATAAAGAAAACAACATTTAAAGCATTATTTCCACACTGGCCTTGAAACTCTTCCTTCTCCCCATGTGTTACCAYAGAATTTTTTAAAAAAGCATTTGTAATCTAAGTTTAAATCTGGCAGAGGAGCTGTACACATTGTTGCAGTGAGTACTACTACAGAGGCCTCTAAAGCAAGGAAATACAAGGCTCAGGTGGCTAGAACTTTCTTCCCCTTTTAAAATGCTCAATAGCCGTCAGGCCCAGTGGCAGAAGCCACTATAATCCCAGTGGCTCTGGAGGCCAAGACCAAAGCCAGCCTCAGCAACTTGGTGAGGCCCTAAACAACTTAGCAAGACCCTATCTCTAAATAAAAAAGGGGCTGGGGATGTGGCTCAAGCGGTAGCGCGCTTGCCTGGCGTTCGTGCGGCCCGGGTTCGATCCTCAGCACCACATACCACCAAAGATGTTGTGTCCGCCGAGAACTAAAAAATAAATATTAAAAAAAATTCTCTCTCTTTCTCTCCTTTCTCACTCTCTCTTTAAAAAAAAATAAAATAAAAAAAAAATAAAAAAGAGCAGGGGATGTGGCTCAGTGGTTAAGCCCACCTGGGTTCAATCCCCAGTAGCAAAAAAAAAAAAAAAAAAAAAAAAAAAATTCTAAATAGCAACAAATGTTGCAAAGATTTCACCTTAGGTTTCAGTTGTATTTGGTATGTAGAGTTCAAAAAACATACATATCGAAAATTTTTAAATCAAAGGTGTCTGTTAGTGAATAGAAGAGTCTGGTGCCATCCTTGAGTGAGCCAGTCAGCTCAGTTTTCAGTGACAGCAACATGTAACATCACCTACCTAACAGCAGCCTTCCAGTTACAAGTAGAGTCTAGAGCAGCAAATCTTGTGGCAAACCACTCCAAGAAGTTTTACTGATGATGTCATCTATGTTTACATGTAGAGAGTTTAACTTCATTTGTAAGTAACAAAGTTTCCAACACCTGCATAACTATTCATAACTATTTTGAAAGCTCCTACATGAAAATTCAGTCCTATCAGAATGTATTGTCCAGGATTACCAGTAACCAAGAAAATGCAAGTACACTAGACTATGCTGGCTACAAATTCCCACATCTTAACTCCATGAATCCAACAGTCAAAAAACACTCAAAATATGGGAAAMCAGACAGGCATGGTGGCACACACCAGTAATCCCAGCGGTTCAGGAGACTGAGGCGGGAGGCCTGCAAGTCCAATGCCAGCCTCAGCAACTTAATGAGGCCCTAAGCAACTCAGCAAGCCTCTGACTTTACATATTACAAAGGGCTGGGAATATGTCTCAGAGGTTAAGCACCCCAGGGTTTAATACGAGTACCAAAATTAAATATACATGTGTGTGTGTATACACACACACACACACACACACACACACACACACACACGAGAAACCAAACATCAAACATTTTCAGACTACAACTCTCATTTCAACACTGCTAAAATGAATACCAAAAGTAAATTCAAAAATAGCTTTTTCCAAGAGGCTATCCCTCAGACTCTTTCAAAAACCAGAAAGACTTTTCCAAAAATAACCTGGACATAACACCAAATGCTCAGACATTTCAAGAAGAATGGCGTCCAAGCATTCCCCTTCACCATCATCCTCAAGCAGGATATGAAGCTGCCTCTCATCTTTTCACCTCTTCAACTTTATGAGACCTTAAGCTAAAAGTTCTTCACTGAGGGTCCAAGAACTTAAATGGAAATTTTGTTTTAATTACATTTAAATTATTCATTTTCACTAACTCCTTGCCTAAAATAAAATGCATTCTTATTAATCACAAATTTGGTTTGATATTTTGAAAACTATGTTCCTGGCCCAATAACTTGAACTTGTAACAGACACATCCCATCAAATACCATGATTCAAATATTCTTGCAAAACATCATGCTTTAAAAGCACACACTGCTGGGTGAAATGTTGTGCACCTGCAGACCAAGGTACCTGGGAGGCTGACAGAGGATTACTTGAACCCACAAGATCAAGGCCAACCCAAGCATCATAACCACACTTCATTTCAAGGGAAGGAGAAAAAAGAATATACCCTTGAAATTTATACTGTTGAAATCAACAGTTAAGAGTTTAATGTGATTTTTTTTAAAGAGGGAGAAAAATAGCTAAAACAYAAGAAATGTTTGGAGAAACATTATATCAAAAATAAAAATTAACACCACAATTAATATAAAAGAACATTTAGGGATGGGGTTGTAGCTCAGCAGTAGAGAGCTTTCCTAGCACATGTGAAGAGTGACAGAGTACTTGCCTAGCACTTGGGAGGCACTATGTTCAAAAGCCACAGCACCACATATAAATAAATAAATGCATATATGTATGTATGTATATTTTTAAAAAGAACATTATGTATGTATGTATGTATATTTTTAAAAAGAACATTATGTATGTATGTATGTATATTTTTAAAAAGAACATTTAATCAAAATGCCACACATACCTCTGTAAGCAATATTGCTAGCATATCCTGCCTCTGGAAACGTATGGCTAAGTGTACCAGGGTGTAGCCAACATCAAAGGCAGAAGGGCGATTCAGTAAGCGTACTTCATCTGCAGTAAGCTGGCGTGCGATATCTCCTCCTGATGATTTGTATGCTTCTATGGCAGCTAAATCACCTTCTACGACTCCTAAAACAAGCATCAAGATAGAAAAGCATTTAATCCTATTTTTCATCAAAAAGCAAAAACCTGTAGCATTCACTCCAAACTCTAAACATTTCTCTGTGCTTCCTGGATCCTGGRGTATCACTTATTGTCCTGAAGAATATAAGAAAAATTAGCATTTCCCTCCCTTTAAAAATTTCTTGCCAGAACTACCTAGTTAGCACTTACCTTACCATCATCAGTGCTGGCTCCATGCTCTGGTAAAGTTTAAAGGAAATGTTAGGATACAGTAAATGGATGAAAAATCAGTAACCTAATGTGAGACACCTGACTTCACAGACCATACTGAGCCCCTGTTCTGGGCCTGCATTCATCCTAACTGTAGAAACCAAGGAGGCAATGAGGTGCTTCCAGTAGATGTTGGGCTGCTGCTGCCCCCTTATACTACATTCTTAAAGCAAAATTCAAAGGGGGAGGGAGAACTGAGTTTTCCATACTGCTCTTAATTGTGAAACAACTTAGTGACTGGAACCATTTTCATTGTTATGTGGAAGTTAGCAAAAATTTTAATTTCAAAATCTCAGAATGCTTGTTTCAGCAGTACATATACTAAAATTGGAATGACACAAAGAAGATTAGCATGGCCTCTGTGCAAGGATGACATGCAAAATTGTGAAGCATTCCATATTTTTCTAAAAGCAGCCTGAATGAGTGAGAGTGGGAAAACATCCCAATTACATATATATGAGCCAAGACATCTATACACCTATTTCAAATTGATAATTGTTATTAAAGTAAAAATTAAACCAGATGATTTTTGATAAGGTATGTTAAAACATTACAAACAAGTTAGGGACAAGAGAATGAAACAAGTATGACTTTTTCCAAATCCACAGAGAACTTCAAAATTCCCAATGAATCATTTTATTAATCTTAACACAAAAATGTTAGGTAAAAGTAATAACTATATTGACAATAAAAATCAACCCTTTAAAAAGAAACGTCTACATTAGCTTGCAATTTACTAAAAATAAGAGGGGAGGACCCCAAACCCGAGATTATAAAACCAAAYAATTTTGTTTCCTAACTTACAGCAGGAAAAAGAAATTTGTTAAATTTGGTGAGTAGAATGATAATACTAGCTGAAAACAGTATGCTTTTTTAAAAAGTATTTTTCATTAGGAATTAAGGTAAATAGATATTCCTTACAGGTTGCACCAAACCCCCACTTAATTTAATTTCCTTATCTACTGAAAGAGCACTGTTCAAGGCAATATGAGAAACACAAAGACAATAAAAACATACCTCCTATATTCAAAAAAGTCCTTTCTAATAACACTTTTGAGTCATAAATGGCCAGCTTCAAAAGTCTGCAAACTCTAGGATCATGGACCCTTTTAGCAAGTCAATATGCTTTTGCCTCAAAAAGGTCCCCCTGACCCCTATCCCCAGACATACATTTTTCAAGATAAAGCAGGCGTAGTAGCACACCATCTATAGTCCCAGCACCCTGGAGATCACTTACACAATATAGAGTCTCCATCTCAAAAAAAAAAAAAAAAAAAGCCATAACTATTTCGGGATGTAGCAGGATCATTGCATGTTTTATGGTCTTCAGCTTAAACCTAAAAATATATCTATTTATAAAATTTATTTGTTACATATGATTATTCCATGCTCTCCCAAAAGCAATCCAAGTTTGATCAATTCACCTGACAGAGGAAGATCTGTATATACATATGTATTTATGTGTATGCTACGTATGTGTGATATTCTATATTCAAATATATTTATTTCTAAAAGACAAACATGAGGAAATCTAAAGCTAAATACCAAAATGACTTCCTTCTTTGGGTGGAAGAAGGAGATCTTCTAAATCACTGTCTTTACTATTCCTGGCTAACTCACCATAAAGGAGAAGTCTAAAAGAATTTCACCTTAGAAATTCTTAAGAATTTATTTCTTTTCTAATGTTTCTGAGGGATTTCTTTTTTGGGGGGTTGTATGTGTGTGTGTGTGTGTGTGTGTGTGTGTATGTGTATGTGTGTGTTGCTAGGGACTGAACATGTGAAGCAAGCACTCTACCAACTTAGCTATATCCCCAGCCCTTTTCTGAGGGATTTCTCAAATTAGGGGTGGCAGGAAGATGATGACTAATCTAAACAGCACACTGAAGTTTACAATCCTATGATTTACAGTATCACCCATTCTGCCTTCAAAGTAAATACTTCAAAAAAACAAAAATCTGCAAAATGGTAATGAAATGCATGGTATATAAACAATATCTCAGTAACGCTGAGAGAGACAGACACACTCGCGGGACGCACGCGCGCGCACACACACACACACACATAAAATTTCTATCTGGCTAATCCAAAATAACAAAAATACTCAATTACTCCTTCTCATCCCAAACTCTACATTAAACTGCAGAAAAGCTAACGTGCCCATTCCTTAGCATRGAATAAATAAAAGAGGATAGAAAATGAGGATAAAACAGAATAGACTCTTCTCCACTCTTCACAGCACAAAATTTTCCAAACTTTCTAGCACAAACACATGGAAGTATAGACAAAAGATAACTTAAAAAAAATATCTTATTGTCTAATGTTTGAGGAATATATGATTTCATTCTTTTTCTTTACCCATAATAAGAACTTATGGTTTCAGTGACAGGTGAATTTTCAGCTACAAAGATCAGTAAACTTTTTACAAATTTCATGAGAATATCACTAACTGCCCAATTTTTGTTATGTCTTTATTATATACTGTTCAAAGAGAACTACTGAAAAGCTTAGGCAATTTCTTCATGACGCTTCACTACAAACATGATGTTTAAAAGAATTCGAACCATATTCAAAGAATTTAAACTGGGAGGGAGGAYATCATAGTATATTCAAAAAAATCTTACAAGATATCGGAGTTCTTCACATAACAATACACTTTGAGCTACTTTTAATATAATGGATAAAAWGAAAGTAGAGAAAAGCAGAAGAAATGGTAGGCAGGAAAAGATAGCATATAAAGGTTAAGTGCTAAAATCTCACTTTATAGAACAAAAGGGGGGGGAGGTGTACTGAAATGTTCCAAGAGAAAATAAAGAGATGACTTGTACATGGCTTTCTTCTAAGTTACTTCCAACTCACAATGCCTTAAAGAATAACTCAAGAAACTTTCTCTTAATACTTTTTAAATTTAGCAAACATTTTGTCCCTTCCTCCTCCATGCAATGAAGGCAAACAACAACCAAAAAAAAAAAAAAAAAAACAATTAAGGATGCTCTGAGAAGATTACCAGTATAAAACTAACCTACAGTACCATCATACATTCAAAAGGATTGAATAAATGCATAATTAGCTAAATAGAGTCACATAATTACAAAGAAAAGTATTAATACAGTTTTAAAAACCGAAGATCTAAAGAGTAAGTGAAAAATACTGTGTTATACATTACTAGCTACAAAGTTAAAAAAAAAAAAAAAATGGCGGCACCTGCCGTAGCAGCTCATGTTGTCCTATGAGCTGGGCCATGAGCTTATAGTATTTTGAAGCCACAAGAGAATAAGTCACCGAGGACTTCACAGCTACTATGGAACTCCGTTGGTTAGCATATGAAGCTGGCTCATAGATATTTAGAAAATAGACTTATTTTTCCCCCATGTATGGCACGGTTTTCAAAGTTTTGCCTTATTTTCCTTTATGACATAAAATCATAATGGTAACTCACTTTGAAAAGAATGCCAAATGGTAAAAAAAAAGCCAGGACTTACCTGAGCCCACATGGGCCAGCTCAACACTACCCTGGAGTTCTATGGTAGCTGTGACATCACAGCATGGTTTATGCTGTGGGGTCAGGGTGGACCTGGAGTCAGCAGGCACAATTTCAGGAACCCTTAAAAAGAAAAGTTAGTTTTAAGTGGTAATGTTCAGAATGTCCTATATCATGGTCAGTAGAAAGATGCAGATGAGGCTGGCTATAATGTCTAGGTCATTTTCCTCTACCCAGAGTTGAATTCATTTAATTGTTTTTGTATATTAATAAGAAAAAAGACCACTTAGTAACACTTTTCTTTTCAATCATTTATACTTTAATCATAAACCTGATGTAGATATTCACAGCAAACTTTCAATACTCAAACATAAGCTGCTTTTTAATTTAAATAACCTCAATATTTTTAAGTCTGCCTTCAAACAGAGGGAAAATTCCAGAAACAGTTTTGAGCAAAACAAACCCCTCCTATTTCACTGCTGACAATAATTAATAGTAACACGATTTACCATTTCTGATGCCAGAATAATGCTATAAAATAGTGACACTGTCAAAAAAAAAAAGAGGGGTGATAATCAGAAATCGGAAAAAAATTATTAAATATAATCTAATCTATAATAAGAGTAACTCCTATTCAACAATTTCACTTCCCCATTATTAAAATTCTCTTTAGAAAAACAAGAAGACTCGATGAAATAAGGAGTCAAATAGTCTCTAAGGCCTTTTAAATGTCCTATTATTAACTGACAAACTGTCAGAGAACAATAATATTTCTGAGCTCTTACCTCCTTACATCTTTGATCTGACTGTTAACTGCTGTGGAAATATATATCCCCAAAGTCATGAAAGACACCTTTCTAAGAAAGAAGATCCTGAAGAGCAGGAAAATTTACTGCAGGAAGCATAATGGAAGAATTTAAAGGAAAAAGTTATCTCTGGAACAAGTGATCAGAGAGAAGTATAAATGCTAATGAATTATGGAACATTATAAAGGTCCCTTGAGGAAATTAAGATTTTTCTAAAAATTGTATATTTTTCTTTCTTTTTTTGGGGGGGGGTGGGGGGTGGGGTGGGATTGCTGCTGCTGCATTATGCATGCTAGGCAAGTGCTCTACCACTGAGCAACAACCCCCAGCCCCTAAAAGCATATTTTGAAACTCACATAAATAGTATATGCCAGAGTCACACTCACACAGCCATCAAATCCAAAAGTTTTTCTGACTTCAAAATAAAAATTTCACTGCTACACTGTCAAG